TCGGCGGCCCGCAAGGCGCCCTCCCGCGCTAGGCCGGGCGGTGTGGCGCGCGGCGCCTAGCAGGCCCCGAGGAGGCCGCAGTTAGGCCCGGGGAGGAGCCCGGCTGCCCCGAGCGGCGGCGGAGGCGCGCTCCGTAAGCGGGCGGGGGTTGGGGGAGGGTCGCCCGGCTGTCCGGGAGGCGGCTGAGGGGCTCTGGGTCGGCGCCGCGGTCGACCCGGGGCACCGCGCGGGAGTGAGGCCTGGCGAGGAGGCGAAGGCTGCAGGCGTGAGGTGAAGGCCGCAGGCCGGCCGGGCCGATTTTCGCTATGTAAATATCGGCGAGGGGGGGAGGGACGGGGGACAAGATGGCGGCGGCTCGGCGCCTGCTGCAGGGGACGATTGAGGGGGTTGCCGGGAGGGGGAGCCGCCATCTTGAAGGCGGCGTCTGGAGAGAAAATTCCGCTACAGCCCGTGAGGGGGGGTGGGAGAGCGGGCGGCAGCGGCGACGGCAGTGGCGGCGCCGGTGACGGGCCACGGAGGCCCGGCGCGGCGGCGTGTGCGCGCGCGGAGGGGCGTGCTCACTCCCCACGGCGGCCATTGCCCTTGCCGCCATGATGACGAGTGCTCGGGTTCCAGGCTCTCGGCGGCAGCGCCACCTTCCTGCCTTGCTTCCCGCAGCCCCGTGACTGCTGTTTCCGCTGCATTTTAACTGAGCTGCAGCAGGCGGCCAGCGGGGCCATTTCACCCCTCAGCTTCCCTGACCCTGCTCCTTGTCTCCGCGCTTGTGGCTACCCGAGGGTTGTCGGGGCCGTTGGCAGTCCCGGCACCTGTGCTCACCAAGGCAAATGGGACCCCAGGAAATTTTATTTTTGCTTAAGTAAAGTCATACGTGGCTGTTAGGGTGCCCTCGATGCGGTTGTTTTCCAACAATCACTACCCTCACGAACATCTGAATAAAGAAGTAAAAATTTTTCAAAAAGATGGTAAAGATCGCCCTACTATTTTGTCCAATAGGGGAAAAAGTGCAAGTTGCCCAGCACGAAAGTGGAGGAATAAAATTTTCAAGGAGTCATTTGTGCTCATTTATGTGGAAACAATTTTCTTGAAAAACTGTTTAAGCGATTAGTGATCTGTTTGTGGTGTTTACTTTCTTCGAGGAATAAGGAAAAAAAGCGTTTTAAATTTCTTATTGAAGGGCAGCATAATGTGGTGCATATTGTGCATTGCATGTTACAGTATTTAGATTGTTTATTTTATTTGTGAAGTTTTAGGGTGGAGTTCCATCCTCTAGAGTACTTATGATCGCACACTATACAATTTTCCTGCTAAACTCAGCGTCCAGTGTTAACGATGCACTGTGCTAGGTGCTAAAAAAGATTTAAAAGGTTCTTGTAATGCAGACGATGGCTGCAACAAGTTCGTTGTTCGCAGGTAGAGGGGACAAGGTGAAATGCACCAAGTACTGCAGGAGAGGTACAACTAATTACTTGGGTTTCAGAGGAAGGCAGCGTTTTCATTTGGAGTGCCAGGAAGGGGTTTCTGAAGTAGGTGGCATTTTGAGGTTACTGAAGGATGTGTAGGACTTTGTTAGGTAGAGGTGAAGGTGAGAAAAGGGCATTTCAAGGGTGATGCTTCTTTAGAAAACAAGTATTTACGGTTTGGCAAAAGTGAATGATGTAGGTAGGGAAGTGGTGGGAATTCAGGCCAGGAAAAGGTAGTATAGATTGCAGAAGAGCTTGCTTGCCAGAAGGGGGAGACATCAACTAGCAAAGTGAAGACACACCTGAGCTGTGCTGTATTTTATTTTATTTTGAGACGTTATATTACCCAGGCTGGTTTCGAACTCCTGGGTTCAAGCGAGCCTCCCTGTTGCTAGGATTACAGATCTCCACCACCTTGCCTTGCCCTAGAGCTGTGTGTATTTTGTAGTCATTAGCAGTTCCATCGGGCTAGGAAATGTTTCAGAGTTGAGAAATAATGAGAGTATTAAGTTGGCCAAGTGTTTTCACTGTCAGAACGTTTTGCAGTATGTTCAGAAGTTAAGCAAATCTTGTTACTTTTTGAATGGTCCATCTTTATCAGACAGCAACTCCTTTTTTGTTGTTTTTTGGGTTTTTTTGAGTTGATGTCTCTTTCTGTTGCCCAGGCTGGAGTGCAGTGGCACAGTCACTGGCAGCCTCTACCTCCTGGGCGCAGGCGATCTTTCTGTCTTCAGACTAGCAGGGACTACATGCCCGTGCCACCACGCAGGGTTAATTATTTTTATTTTTATTTTTGTGGAGACAAGGCCTGGCTGTGTTGCCTAGGCTGGTCTCAAACTCCCAAAGTGCTGAGGTTACTGGTGTGAGCCACTCGCCTGACTGTGCTCCGTTTTTCTATACTAATTTCCCGCCCCCAAGTACTCTTTTGCTTAGGGTTATTTATAATTTCTTTAGTAAACAAATAGGGGATTCTGACATTTCATTTACCGTAGTTGAAAATTACAGGACTAGTGCTGTGGGTTACTTGATGAAAATAAGAAATGAACCTATAAGTATTTCTCAGGTAATTTTTTAAGAAGCCAGCTTTGAAAAGTTGGGTGGGAAGAGCAATTATTCAAAAGGCAGTGGCCTTCAGAAGGCCTTTTGCAATCTGTGTGCTTCCCCTGGTGAAAGTAACCACTGTTTTGTTTGAGAAGATAACTAAGACTGCTTGCTAAGCCAAGCCTTCTTGCTCATATTTTGGCTAATACTTGACTAATCTAGATGCACATATGGGAAACATGTTTCCTAGAATTTTATGATAGAAACCTTGAGGTAGCATAGGTATTCACTTTCAGTTGTTACATTTTTCTAGACTGCAACAGGTCAGAGCAGTGATGCTCCATGAAACGACTGGAGGGAATGAGATAGTCTCATGTTTATTATAAAGGGCTATTGTTTAGAAAATTTCAAGATGTAACAGTGCATTGCAGGAGGCTGGCTAGAACCATGTTGCCAAGGCAGGCTGTGGTTGTGAGGGTAAACATAAACTTAAAAGAATCAGTTGCTTTTATATCTTAACAGAAAGGACATAGAAGAACTATAAAGGAGATAGAATTGTATTGCTGCATGGTACAGCAGCAGTGTACATTTAAGATTAAGATTAAATTAGACTCAAGTTGTATAGTTAAGACAGGTAAGTATGTAGTTTAGTTTCCATTAGAAATGGTTAAATATAAAATTCTTTTTGATAGTCTGCCATACTGACTGGTGGAACACCTTATAACCCAACCATCTTGGGATAAATGAAGTGTTAGGTTTTTTTTTATTTTCTTTTTTAAAATGCTATGTTAATGATATTATAATAAGCCAGGGTCAAGGAAGTGCTTGTTTTAAATTTATGTGTGTTTTTTAGATAGATGCAAGTTTCTTTTTTCAAAAAAACATGCTCACACATGCATTCAACAATTTTTTTCTTCATTGTTTTTTGTAAATTCTTATTCTCTAGCCGCCTTTAGACTGATACTGTCACTGATAATCTTTGTGTACACTGGCAGTCGCAAACTCTTTTTTACTCTTTAAACTCCTCAGCCAAGTCCTTGAAATCCATCACCCTCAGCAAAGATTACCTAATCTTTTACTTCACTGAGAAGGGTAGGTGACCATCTGATATAAACAGCAGAGTTTCCCTCCTTTCCCCTTCATGCCTTTCCTCTGTCTCTTCCCAGACCTTCCTCCTATTTTGCTGCAGGAAGGATGCTTTCCTTCAGGCTGCGCAAGTGCTTTTCACCCTGGCCTGCCTCCTTAGGGACAGAGCTATGTCATTGATGCTATCTCTTGCATCATTACCCTCTCCTTATAAATATTCCCAGGCTTGCTCATCTAACAAAAACCTCACCTGTTTTCTCTTTCCTTTCATCAGTAGTTTTATATCTTTTCACCTCACTTATTCCTAAATCCAGTGTTTCCCAAATTGGGAAACTTGCACAGCACGTTAACAAGTGTGTCATATAAAAGTGTTCTGTGCGGCCAGGAGCATTGGCTCATGCCTGTAATCCCACCACTATGGGAGGTGGAGGCTGGAGGATTGCTTGGGCCCAGTAGTTCGAGACCAGCCTGGGCAACGTAGCAAGACCATGTCTCTACCCCCCCTAAATAAATAAATAAATAAATAAATAAACAAATAAATAAATAAATAAATAAGGTGGATGTGGTGGTACACACCTGTGGTCCCAGCTGTTTGTTGGAAGGCTGACCCAGGAGGATTGCTTGAGCCCAGGAGTTGGAAGCTGAGGTGAGCTGTGATCTTGCCGCTGCACTCCTTCCTGGGCAACAGAGTGAGACCCTGACTCAAAACAAAACAAAACAAAACAAAACAAAACAAAAAACAGTGTTCTATATTTCAGAAATCTCTGTGCCTTCCCTGTCTTTGGTGGAATTTCCCTCAAGGCCAGTCCTCTATTCTTTTTTCTCTGAAATCTTCTCCCTTAGGTTCACAGGCCCTTACCATCCCCACCCTCTCTTCTAGCTTCTCACCTACATTTCTAGTTGTCTACTGACCATGTCTTAACTGTCTCACCATGGCTGCAACCAGATTATCTGGCACACAGTAGATACCCAATACTATTTGTTGAATTCTTTTTTTTTTTCTTCCTTCCAGAGCCCCTCGAACAACTCCTGTTTCTTGCTTTTTTTCTATTAATGGTACCATCATTTTTCCAGGCTAGTTCTTTTCTGTCCCATAGAACAATGTGGGCATATTTAATTTAGCATTTAATCTATTATATTTTAACTGTGTGTTTATATGTATTTTTGTCTTTTAAACTGTGAATATAGAGACAAGTTCTACTTTGTCTTTGTCCCCAAGCAGTACCTGGCACATGGTCTGTTATCTTTAAAAACAATTGTTTCAGTTATTGGGTGCAGGCTGTTTTATGTAGTTGAATAGTTTTTAGTTATTCAAAATAAAGTATTCAGTTAGTTTGATTTTTGACCAAGGGATGTATATATATTAAGGTACACCTGTCTTATTAGGGTACTAGGTTAGACAAGGAATAGAGTAACCCCCTTCTGTCACCCCTTATCTGATTGGAATATGGCCAGCCTGTCATATTATTCCTGTCAAATTATTTTTCCAGACAGCATTTTATAAAATTCAGGTATTTTATAAATGTTATTTCACTCAAAAGGAAATATATTTTAAGGAGACTGTGTGGTCTTGAAATATACAACTATTAGGTTATTTAAAAATACATATTTAAATGTTTTTTAAATGATGAAATATTTCAAAATTACTGAAAAATCAAATGTCACTCAGATTTAACATATCTTAAAATTTTGTTATATATTTGCTGTGTAATGTCTTCATCTAATTCAGTGGATTTCAAAGTGTGCTCCAGGGATTCCTGGGGATCCCTAAGATTCTTTCAAGGGGTCCATGAAGTCAAAACTATTTTCATAATACTGTTCTTTACCCTTTTCACCTGCATTCTCCTGTACACTGTATGAGTACCATCCAGAGGCTGCATGACACATGATGTCATAATAGATTGAATGTGGAAACAGTTATGGGAATCCAGCTGTCCTCTATTAAGCCAGACATTAGAGAGATTTGGAAAAATGTAAAACAATGCCACTTGTTTCACTAATTTTTTTTTGTTTTGAAAAGTAGTTATTCTAAAATAAATAGTTATGTTTATGTATAGTGGATTTATTATTATTATTATTTTATTTTTGAGTTGGAGTCTCACTCTGTCGCCCAGCCTGGAGTGCAGTGGCCGCTCCTGGCCACCGCAGCCTCGACCTGTTGGGCTCTGGTGATCCTTCCGCCTCAGCCTTCCGAGTAGCCGGAATTACAGGCGCACGCTACCACGCCCGGCTAATTTTTTGATTTTTTTGTAGAGATGAGGTCTCACCTGCCCAGGCGGGTCTCGAACCTGCGGACTCAGGCAATCCACTCACCTCAGCCTCCCAAAGGTGCGGGACTACAGGCTGAGCCACTGAGCCCGGCTGGGTTTATCATTTTTATAAGTGAATAAATGCTGTCAAATGTCTGATTTAATTCCTAATATGATAAATATCTATAGATATGACCCACATAAGAACTCTTTGTGATCCTTAAATTTTAAGAGTGCCAAGGGGTCCTGAGTCCAAGTCTGAAAACTACCAATCTAGTTCATTCATTTTACTTATATTTCAATGCATAAATATATTGTGGTTTATTTATCCATTCTTATGGAGGGACCGTTAGGCTGTTTGCAGTTTTCTGCAGTTTCAAACAATGCTATGAAGATTCATTGAAGAAGTCTGTGTGTTGTCAACTTTACTGGGAATTGCCAAAATGCCAAATTATGTTCCATTTGACACTCCACCAGCTGTGTAGGATCCTATTTCTCCAGCTCAATGCCAAAAGTTTAGATTTTGCAGTTTTTTCCAAATCTGTGGGGTATAAATGCTGTATATCTCATTACTGTTTTCATTTTGCATTTCTTAGATTAATAATGAGCCTAACTTTTGTTTCCCATATATTTATTAGCCATTTTAGTTTTCTATGAATTGCTTGTGTGTATTCTTGGATTGTTGCCTTTCTCTTCTTGATTTATGAAAATTTTTATATTGTAGATACTAATGATTTGTGATTGTATACACTGAAAATATCTCTTCCTAATCAGTGGCTTATTTTTTACTTTGTTTATGGAAAGTTTTTTACATAGGACTTTTTAATGTGACAGTAACCAGTTTTCTCATTTATGGCTTGTGTTTTCTTGTGTCTTCAAGAAATTCTTCCTTTACCCTACAGTCATAATGATACTGTGATTTTTCATATTTAGGTCATTAATTTATCTAGAGTTTTTTCCTCTATTGTGTTATGTGGGGTTGAATATTTTCTTTTTCATATGGCTTTATCAAATAGTTCAGCCTTTCTCCCCACTGATTTATAATACAATTCCTGAGGTATATCATATTTCCACATATACACATCTGTTTTTAGTTTCTCTTTTCTGGCTTCATGGGTCTGTTTGCCTATTTCTGTATCTATACCACTCTGATTTAACAGTGGTAGCTTCATAGTTAAATCTTAATATATATTCTTTTTCTTTGGGATTAATTTTAACCTATTTTCCTCCCTTTACTTATTTTAGGGTCAGTTTGTCAATTTATATGAAAACTGTTGGATTTTTTTTTCTCTATTTGCATCACATTTATAGAACAAGTGTATAGATTCTTATAGATAAGTGCCAAGTAGTGGAGCTGGGATTTGAATCTGGGTATGTGCTTCTACTTTTCATAAAGCTCTTGCGCAATTTTTATTACATTTTTTGGCTGGATATTGTGTAATTTTTGTTGTCATTGTGAATAGGATTTTCTTTTAGTTATAGTTTGTATTTAGTTGTTGCTGATGTATAGTGAACACAATTTTTTTTTTTTTTTTTTTTTTGAGTCCGAGTCTCACTCTTGCCCAGGCTGGAGTACAGTGGCAAGATCATGGCTCACTGCAACCTCCACCTCCTGGGCTCAGGTGTTCCTTCTGCCTCAGACTCTACACCTGGCTAATTTTTGGTTTTTGGATTTTTTGTATGGAAGAAATCTTGCTGTGTTACCCAGGCTGGTCTCAAACTCCTGGCCTCAAGTCATCCTCCTGCCTTCCAAAGTGCTGGGATTACAGGTGTGAGCCTACACACCCAGCCTGGGAACACTGTTGACTTATGTGTATTGATCATACAACCTTGCTAAACTCTCATGACCATATTTCGTAGATTCTGAGGTACACTTTCTCCCTACATTTTGACATCTCTGAAATCAGAATAGAACTCCAATTGATGGTATCCCATAATCACTGTTGCCCAGGCATATCATGAAGTAGTTATTATTGCCTGCACATGAGCAAACTTGGTCAGGGCTCTTCATTTTGTCATCACTTTAAATGAGTATGTGCATTGTTGCATTGTTATTTCATGCCCAACAATACAACTGAAGGCAGAAGAAACTGTGAAGTGGGTGTCTGCCTTGAAAGAAAATCCCATAGATGATAATGGACCATTTTAAGAACTGCTGCCTCACCAACATTCTTGGCAGAGGACAGTATCTTTTTTTTAAAGAGTTGAGGTCTTGCTTTGTACCCAGGCTGGAGTGCAGTGGTGCAATCAAAGCTCACTGTAGCTTAGAACTCCTGGGCTCAAGCAATCCTCTCACCTC